AAAAAAAAGTGCTATTAAAATACACCAAACCAGACCTTTTTGTGCTCCAATATAAGTAATGCATGATGTTTAATGTTGATTTTTAAAGTTTAAATAATTACTGACTAAAACAAAGAGAGCGCGAGAGCAGAAAAGGTGAAAGTCAACCTCACCCCCCACAACATTGAACAGAAAATTAAACACACACACAACTGGATCAGCAAAATTCCTACAGAGCTGATAATAGTCTGCTGGGACACAGAGGGTTTCTTATCTTTGTCTGCGTTTTTCCTCTAAACTCACTGAACAACAAGGAGGCCTTCCTGAGGTTTGATTCACTCAGCTTCAACATGAAACAAAGATTTTATTGAGCATAAGGAACAAAATATGAAATACAGCGTTTCATTTTAGGATGTCATGCTTCATGTGGCAATTCTGCTACACCGACAGATTGAGATTAATTTGCCTTGAAGCTACACCTATAAAAACCTCTATGCAAAAACAAAGAAAGCTTCTAACACTTTACAGGCTCATGAATGACCAACACCGTTTCAGCAAAGACAGGTGGAGCAGATATGAAATCCACCTATGAACGCGTGAGACTTGATAGTTTGTTAAAGAGCTCAGCAAAATAAAGCTGTCCGAGATTATTTTTCCTGTCACGATCGCCGACGTTTAAAGGGACGCCTTTTGCAAACGTGAAAACAGCATAAACGATCGATTTTAGCCAGTAGGTAATTTGTTATTTCGGCAGGTGTGGTGATGACAAGGTGAGCAAGAGGCACACAGCTAGCCGAGCTAAGCTGCTAGCATAGCTCCTTATCGTGAAACGCACGACTTGGCTCAGTTCTTATCGAGCCACCGGCTGAGCGTCTTTGAGTGATAAGAAGAAACAAAGTGGTCAACACAGAATATAAGCAGTGCAGGTTAAAGCTGCGACATTCAGAACAAAACAACAACTTGGGGCATTAGCAAACTTAGCAACAACCGCTTGAGAGTAATGTAAGCATCATGCTAGCTAGTTTAGCTGAGGCCGGAAATTTTCACGTAACGTTCACTTTGAACAAACGGTAGCTATTTTCATAAGTATTATACCGCTTCCAAATTACTGTCGTCGGTTGGTTCACAAGGTGTATCGGATCATAGCTATCAATGTAAAGTTCGTAAAATATACCCGTTTACCTTTGCTTTGAGTAGTAAGCGCCATGATGACTTCTAACATTAACATTAGCCGTCTCTTCGCCGCAGAACGGCAGAGAGGAGCCGACCAATCAGAGTGCACCGTCACCGTCGACCAATCAGAGCAGACAACAAACTTGGAGTCGACCAATCAAAACGCAGATTTTTACGACCACGCCTATCCTTCTAAGGCATACAAAATAAAACAGAAAGCTCAGTTTTTTTTAAAGATGATGAAGGTGCAAAAATAAAAGCATCTTTATTCGTCTGATTCTTGTAAGTTTAGCCTCCATTGATTTTAATCTTTTGTAACTGTTTTACGCTTAATCCATACATTTAAAATCATGATATTAAGGTTGAAATATAACAAATTTGAGCTAACAACACTTATTTACAACAACAAAATATTTTGTATTTAAAATTAAATGTTTATATGCATTTATATCTAATACATGCTGTTCAAGATTACGAAAATAACCTGGCTCCTTGAAGCAAAACACACAAAATGAGAATAGGAGCGGATTTGCCACGAAATACAGGTCCTTCTCAAAAAATTAGCATATTGTGATAAAGGTCATTATTTTCCATAATGTAATGATAAAAATGAAACTTTCATATATTTCAGATTCATTGCACACCAACTGAAATATTTCAGGTCTTTAATTGTTTTAATACTGATGATTATGGCATACAGCTCATGAAAACCCAAAATGCCTGTCCCAAAAAATGAGCATATTTCATCCCACCAATCAAAGACAACTGTCGCTAATCATGTGGTACATGTGGTGGAGCGAAATTATGTACACAGGGTCCCAGTTACATCCAACAATAAAATGTATAAGAAAAACAGTAATAACATCTAAGATATGAACTAAGAAAAACATCAACTAAATATACACTAAGCACTCATAACATAAAACATTGAACATCAGCACAAACATGAACATGAGTCTGTGAGCAGATGTGCACGCATGAACACATCAACATTGAAACAGATCAGCAGCAACATGAAACAGATCAGCAGCAACATGATATGGTTTTTCACAGTGATTATTCTAGTTAGAGATTCATGAGTCTAACAGCCTCAGGGTAGAAGCTGTTCCTCAGTCTAGTGGTTCTACACTTAATGCTCCTTAACCTCCTTCCTGAGGGGAGTGGGGCAAAAAGTGTGTGTGCTGGGTGGGTGGGGTCCTTCATGATGCAGGTGGCCCTCTTCCTGCATCTGGAGGTGTAGATGTCTGTGATGGTGGGGAGACTGATTCCAACAGATTTCTGTGCAGCCTTCACCACTCTCTGCAAAGCTTTTCTTTCTGCAGCTGTGCAGCCTCCATGCCACACATTGATGCTCGAGCACAGGATGCTCTCCACTGCACACCTGTAGAAGGAGGTGAGGACTGAGCTTCCCAGACCAGCTCGCCTCAGCCGTCTGAGGAAGTAGAGTCTCTGATGAGCTTTCTTGATCAGGCTGGTGGTGTTGTTGCTCCAGCTGAGGTTGTCATTCATGTGTACACCCAAGTACTTGTAGCTGGAGACCACTTCCACCGCAGATCCTCTTATGTTCAGGGGGGTGTAGATGTTTTTGTTCCTTCTGAAGTCCACAATCATCTCCTTTGTCTTCTTCACATTGATGTGAAGGTTATTCTCTCTGCACCAGCTCTCCAGGTGTTCCACCTCTTGCCTGTAGCTGGACTCATCATTGTTTGTGATGCATCCCACCACCGCTGTATCATCTGCAAACTTTACAATGTGACAGCCTGGATGGGTAGCTGCACAATCATA